GTCACACTATTATTTCACCACGCTCACCCTGGGAGATGTATAGGGAGTAGACAGAAGTGCAACATCCAAGTACCTGCTCTTTAGGCCATGTAAATCGGATAACTTCAAAAAGGAAAAAAAAAGGCTTTAAAGATATAATAAAGCACAGTTTTGGAAACCATAGCAGAGATGTAGCCTCACACAGTAAGCAGTGGGCACATGATGGCCCTGTCTGAACAATGCCCTCAGGCAAGTGATGACAGGCTCCATGAACAACAGCTGCAACTGCTAGTCCCTGAACAATGTGTGTGTGTGTGTGTGTGTGTGTGTGTGTGTGTGTGTGTGTGTGGAATATACTGTATACTGGGTCACCCAGTGGCTCCTTCCACCCACAGAGGCATTCAGAAACAAACCCAGTACGAGCGGCAGTGTTTTCAAACACAAAGGAGAGTGTGGTTCCAAGTGATGATGCTATAAGAAAAACCAGCACCAGATGGCTTATCTGCAAAGGCGTGTTCCACTGACTGTCCACCCTGGTGCACCAATGTGCAGTCCAAATACAGCATGAGGAGCTGCTATTAACAACCAAGACATGCACCTGGAAGGTCAACCACTGAGGCCACAACAACTACATCAGTACTGCATCAGTATCTCTGGGGCTCATTATTCTACAAATCCCTACAGTCATTTAAAAAGTCAGTGTACTTTCTTGCTTCCCCTATACAGACCTCCATCCCAACTTTCATCACTTACATACCCCTCCACAGAACCCTTCCCTAACCCCAGTCTCCTCGGTCCCAACAAAAAAATCATCTCCCCTCCAATACCTCCCGCTCTCTCTCTCTAAAATCCCGTTGTTTTCCATTCCAACCCTCACTCTTCTTTTCCTAGCCTTTCCCCTCTGCCCACAGTGAGATACCTTTTCTATGTGAATAAATGTATTCACCTCCTCAGCTATTCCCTTAGAAAGTACCCTTCCTCTTCCTGATAGACTTGGATCACACTCCTTCCTACCATCCATTTCTCTCCACCTGCCCTGCTGTGTTCACCACCTGTCACCTCCAGTCAGCATTCCACTCATCTTCCAGTGACCATCCTTGTGACGACTCTATCACATTTCACAACACACTGTCAGGCTTGCTTCGAGGATTTTAGCACCTGGCTCAGTCTTGCCTTTTAATGGGGCAATTTTACCAAGACCATTTAAAAAAAGAGCTGTGTTAAAATATATAAACAACAGTCAGCAAGGAATAGAAACAACAATATCAATGTCTCTGGTATCCCTGGTCAGCAGAAGCAGAGACTATTGAAAAAACAAGGTCTAAGACTGGGTGAAGTTAAGCTCAGCAGCAATGAAATGAGAATGTCTGGGTAATAAAAAGGTGTTATGGTTAGATTTTAGGCTTTATGACAATATCTTTGGATAAAACTAGCCACACTGAAACATCATACATCACAAAAGAACTTCCTGGGTAGATGGAAATGTTAGATAGCAATTAGGTATAGTGTACATAGGAGTGACTCCATCTGTCAAGATTGGCTGACATTTCTGGATTTCAGTATATGTAAATTATGCAAAAAAAAAAAAAACACCTGTAAAATAAGAATGATGATTAAATGGGTGGAGTTATGCAGCCAAAACAAGAACGACAGGTGCCAATAACTGCTGAAGGTGGGTATTGAGTACATAAAAGTTCATTATATCATTCTGTTTATGTATGTTTGAAATGTTCTGTAATCAAGTTTTTTAAATGTTGCATACCCTTCTCCCACACACCTCATGCTCAACCATCAGATCCTTTATGACTTCATCATCCACAACAAAGATTCTAACACTGCAGTTTCAATATTTACCACACATTTTCCAACAGCCCAAGAAAAGCACTAATTCAGCCAGCATGCCAGACATTCAGATGCTCCACTTCCTGAGTGCTCTTCTCCAAGAGCTCACTTCTGGAAGATCTTCATTACTGAGCACTGGCTTCCAGTTCTTCCAGCTGCCTGCCGAATGCCATGACCTGCTTTCCACTTGAAGCACCCAGCTCTAGTGCTCTGCCTGTCTGCCCAATCTTGATTGTGTATGGGGGACACAAATACTTACTAAAAGCCTCGTATAAATGCTTGTGAGAACAAAAACATTAAAGTGGGGAAAAAATATAAGATAGTTACCTTTTGACTTCTATTCATTACTATCAGAAAACTTCTTAACTCTTGCACAACTTGGACTTCATGTTCACAACTCTATACAAATTCCTTGGTTCAAGATTACCAAGGTTCCACTCATCTTCAAATTCATACTTGTCCTCCAATACCTTTATGCAGTACTTTTTTTTAATTTTTTAATTTTGATATCATTAATGTACAATTACTTGAACAACATTATGGTTACTAGACTCCCCCCATTAACAAGTCCCCCCTACATACCCCTTCACAGTCACTGTCCATCAGCATAGTAAGATGCTTTAGAATCATTATTTCTCTTCTCTGTATATACTGCCTTTCCAGTGCCCACCCCCTACATTATGTGTGCTGATCATAATGTCCCATTTTCTCCCTTATTCCTCCCTTCCCACCCACCCTTCCCACTCCCTTTCCCCTTGGTAACTGTTAGTCCATTCTTGGGTTCTGTGAGTCTGCTGCTGTTTTGTTCCTTCAGTTTTTCTTTGTTCTTATACTCCACAGATGAGTGAAATCATTTGGTTTATTTCACTACCTGGTTTATTTCACGGAGCATAATACCCTCTAGCTCCATCCATGTTGTTGCAAATGGTAGGACTTGTTTTCTTTTTATGGCTAAATAATATTCCATTGTGTATATGTACCACATCTTCTTTATCCATTCATCTACTGATGGATACTTAGGTTGTTTCCATTTCTTGGCTATGGTAAATAGTGCTGCGATAAACATAGGAGTGCATATGTCTTTTTCAAAGTGGGCTGCTGCATTCTCTTGGTAAATTCCTAGGAGTAGAATTCCTGGGTCAAGTGGTAGTTCTAGTTTTAGTTTTTTGAGGAACCTCCATACTGCTTTCCACAATGGCTGAACTAATTTACATTCCCACCAGCAGAGTAGGAGAGTCCCCTTTCTAGACATCCTTGCCAACATTTGTTGTTGTTTGTCTTTTGGATGGTGGCCATCCTAACTGGTATGAGGTGATATCTCACTGTGGTTTTAATTTGCATTTCTCTGATGATTAGCGATGTGGAGCATCTTTTCATGTCCCTGTTGGCCATCTGACTTTCTTCTTTGGAGAACTGTTCAGCTCCTTTGCCCATTTTTTAATTGGGTTATTTGCTTTTTGTTTGCTGAGGTGCATGAGCTCTTTATATAATTTGGATGTCAACCCCTTATCAGATATGTCATTTATGAATATATTCTCCCATACTGTAGGATGTCTTTTTGTTCTACTGATGGTATCCTTTGTTGTACAGAAGCTTTTTAGTTTGATATAGTCCCACTTGTTCATTTTTGCTTCTGTTTCCCTTGCCTGAGGAGATATGTTCATAAAGAAGTTGCTCATGTTTATGTCCAATGTCCAAAAGATTTTTGCCTATATTTTTTTCTAAGAGTTTTATGGTTTCATGACTTACATTCAGGTCTTTGATCCATTTGAGTTTACTTTTGTGTACGGGGTTAAGACAGTAATCCAGTTTCACTCTCTTACATGTAGCTCTCCAGTTTTGCCAACACCAGCTGTTGAAGAGGCTGTCATTTCCCCATTGTATATCCATGGCTCCTTTATCGTATATTAATTGACCATATATGCTTGAGTTTATATCTGGACTCTCTACTCTGTTCCACTGGTCTATGGGCTTTATGCAGTATTTTAAAATACTAGCATATGGTAATAACAGCTACCACTTATTGAGCACTTATGAATATTTCTAAGTGTTCTAAGCACTTGAAATACATTATTTAATTTTATGAAGCTATGAGATAGGCACTATTATTATTTTTTAATGTATTTTTTAGAAATTAGACATAAAAGGGAGATCACACATCTAAAAAGAAAACTGTCCATTAGTATAACCAAACAAATGCTTAGAAGAAGAGCATGTAAAAGAGCAATTATATAGCAGTCCCGATTTAGGAGTCTGAAGATCTAGGCTTCCTTCAGTTCACTAGATATAACCTCATTGAGCCTCACGCTCCCACTGGTCCTTACCTCTCAGAGTAGTTGTAAGAATCAAATGGAATAATGGATATGAAAACAAGGAGTGAAAGACCCTTGGACTTGAGGTCATGTACCTGGAATCCAATCTCTGCTCTGACCTTTACTATGTGTATGAATTCATACAAGTAAATTCTACAGTATCTTTAAGCTGTATCCATTCTATTGATAACAACAGAGCACATACATATGTGCCAGACATATGTATGCCAGAGTGTTAGGGATAAAAAAGTGAACATGATAGATACAATCTCCTGTCCTTACAGAACTCAGAGCCTACAGAGGGATACAGATGAGTAAAAAGGACAATTAAAATTAGAGGAGGTTAAGTGCTTGGATAGAAGAGTGTTTAAGAGAAGCACCTTCCCTAGATTTAAGGGTCAAGGAATACTTCCCAAAGGGAAATGACTTCTAAACTGAGACTTAAATGATGAATATTAGTCACAGAAGAGTTTCAGGCGGAATGAACAAGAGTTAAAGATCTGCACACAGAGGGCACGTGTTAATAGTATTTTCTAGAGAAGTAAAGATTTCAAAAAGCAAGTAAGAGGGATCTTTCTGTATAACTTCTTACAACTAATGGGAATCTACAATTATCTCAATAAAAATTTCAACTTAAAAAAAGCATATATGAGAGTACTTTGAAACTGAGAAGAATCTCAGCTATTTTAGTTAATTTATTAATAACTATTTAGTTAATATTATTATTACTAATGATCAATGGCATACTGAATATTGCTACAGAGAACAAAGCTGGAAGGGTCATGATAATGGAAATAGAACTTCTAGGGACAGTTAGTGACCATATTTCAATAGTTGGTCAAAATTTGGAAAATCATGAGTCAATACCTTTTACATCTGGTCGATACTGTAATCCATCATCTTTCTTTCCCAACAAACTAGTGTCATCTGTGTCTGTAAGAGAAAACAGTTTCAAATTAAGATACATATGATGTTTAGGCCACACCATGAAACTCCCAAATACTCCAAATGCTCCAAGTCCTTCTCAACTCTCTGTTCACTTACCCTGCTCACATTTTCCACCAATCTTTTGATCTACTGTGCCATTTCTATCTGAGGCCTCAAGTCATCCCAGATATATATGTGCTTTGCATGATGAACAGTCTAATTTCATTTAGACTTAGCTCAAATGTCACCTCCTTAAGAAGTCTTCCCTGTGCAAACTAAAATAACACATACCCTGAAGAGAAAAGATTAATCTTTTCTCCAAGGGACAACAATCTCAAGGTTTACCTTCTCCTGTCACTCACTGTTTCCCTGGAAACATATCAGATTAAGATAAATGTGTAATTCATGGTGTGGGAGATCACTGGGAGAACAGTATAGCACAGAGAAGGCACCTAGTGAATCTCTGGCATCTTGCTGCACTAATGGGCAGTGATTGCATTGGAGTATGGGTGGGGACTTGATAATATGGGTAAATGTAGTAACCACATTGTTTTTTCATGTAAAACCTTCATAAGAGTATATATCAATCATACCTTAATAAAAAAATTTTTTAAAAAAAGATAAATGTGTAATCTCAGCTGTTCTGTCAGACAAAATTTACTATAAAAATGACTCCTGACTTGTGAATTGTATTTGGAGTGGGCTGTAAATCAACCATAAATACCTGCTGGAAGCATAGGCTTCAAGTTCCCAATACATAGTAGGGGAAGAAGGATAAGGTGTAGTTAGGTGTGAATTGGAAGTATTATAAAGGAAACCAAGATAAAAGTTAAGGACCAACTACTCCAAAGGATTCTAAATCTGCATGAATTTCAATGAACAAAATTCTTAAGCTTGGCCAATTGCTCAAATTTCAAATCCCAGATAGTATACCATTCAACCACATAACAGATCTTCAGAAAAGATACTCTTTCTCTAAGCTATCTTTCAACCTAGGCTCTAAATACCACCCCATGAAAGAAAAACTATACTCTGCTCTTCAAGATCAAAGCTAAGTAACTAACTACAAGGGGTCCATCCAAACAAACAGTTTCCTCTACCATGCCCATCCCTGACCCTAACCAGAAGTCCTCTGATGAGCTTCTTGGGCATTCTTTGGTATCTTAGACCAAGACTACTGAAATCAGTTGCACATATTTCACGAATTATTTGTCGCCAATATAAAGTCCCAAACTTGGCTTACAACTTTTTTCCTTTAGCTCAAATAAAAACATGCCATTTTAATAAATCCAAAAAGAGTGACTGGTGAGACAGTGGTTACACTTAGCAAACAGGAAAGAGGTACAATCCTAGTCCATAAGAATGTTCCTGGTCCTTGGGTGTTACCAGGAAGAGATACATTATTCTAGCCTATGTGTGTATTACTAAGGAAAGAAGGCTGACAACTTCTGCCTTTAGTGACTGGATGTTTCTAGGAGGGATGGAAAACAAAAACTCATTCTTGGTTGGTATATGGCTTCTAAACTGTAACAAAAAGCAAGAAGGGCAAAAATAATTTTAAACTGAAGGTAGTAATGTTTTTCTTACATTCTATAACTTCATACCAAATAAATCTCTAACAGTAAATATTATGTAGGGGCAAAAACTACAGAGAGAATGTGAAAACTATTATGCTTCAGAAAAAAAGATTAAGAAATATATGGCAATACTTATAGTTTTCCTATAATTAAACTAAGTTGACTAATTCTTAAACAGTTATGATCGTTACAAATTTGAGACAACTTTTAAGAACTACAGATATATGTACAAGTCCATATTAGGATTAGGTTAGTAACTAAACAACCAAGAAGCATGTTCTGTGTCTTGACAATGATAATAAATGAAAAAGAAAATCTCAGTTAGTAACAAAATCTAAAATGTACAATAATGAAAAATAATAAGGCATCAAAGATTTATTTTAAAAATCTGAAGCACCACAAAATGTAAAAATAAGATTGTAGAAATATAAAATTAAAGACAAGTCTCTGAATAAGTACAATGGGTTTTACCTGTGCAATGACCAAGATGCCTTATATCAATCTGTTCTTGCTTTATACAAGATGCTTCTCGAACAAAACAGGGATTGTTATAAGAACTCCCATCAGAAGCACACACAGGATTAAAACTGTATCCACTGCAATCTATATTACATACACACCTGTTGGAAAGAACAAAAATTATCTGTATTTTATAACAAAAATATTTCATTATGCTACATAGCAAAAAAGAGCAATTCTTCCTGTTTTCTGTAACAAGTCAATATATTGTTTTAAGTCCCTGATAAAAGTTTAAGTGAAAGGAACTCCCAGCTAATGATTTCTTTCAGGTGAGAATTTCAGAGTTATTTTCATGCAGATGCTATTAATCCAGTAGTTTCTCCAGAATTTTCATATGCAGTTATTACAGTAATCAAGAGATGTCACATGTCAACATTTAAAAAGCAACATGGTACCAATGGAAAAGACACAGAATTATGAGTCAAAAGTCATGAATCTAAATCTTAGCCCAAATAATGACCAGATTTGTCTCCAGATCCTTCCTCTGAGTCTTAGTTTACTTTATTTCACTGATCTATAAAAGTAATAACATACCTACCTCACCAAATAATTGTGAAGATTAAACACAGACAATAAAGATGTAAAATGGAAGCCCTCAAAAGTGTTTTCTAGCTGCATATCTCACTGAGTGGCTACTGGACACTGAGGCAGCACTGTACAGAAGGCCAAGGAGGTCCGAGTCATAGTTATTCCAAATAACTATGTAAGTTATTAAAAATAACAAACACACAGATTGTTCTGGTTTGGCAATATGATGAACTCAGAACCGATATCAATCCTCCTACTGAAAACAACAAAAAATATTGGATGAAGTATTTTAAAACATTGCACTCATAAATTTGGCAAGAAAGCAACAAATACTCAGGACAACCGTTAATGAAGACAGGAATGGAGAAAGGTGACAGGAATGGAGAAAGGTCAGCTGAGTTTGCTAAAGCTGATTTTTACCTGGAAGGTATTTGCCAAACTGGGTAAATTCAGTTATCAACTTTTTTGGCTTTGTAGGCCTTTGGGAACAGGAGATAAAGAATATTGACCTACCTAAGGTGAAGTGTCCGAACACCCAAAAAAAGCTGGTACCTCAAAAAGCTACAACCCTCAGCATGATGGCAAACTAGCCATCAGTTGCCGTACTCCAAGGGGACCATTTCAAGGAGAAAAACCCTGAGACATGGCACAGAAAGAAAAACATCTCCCCTGAGAACTCAAAAACACAAGCTAGCCCTCACACAGGTAACTACACCTCAAAATACTACTTGGATGTTCTTCTGAAAAGCCTCAAGCCCAGAATTTATTTCAAGAATCAAAGACTGGAAAGGGCCCTAGGCAACTGACAGAAGCAAATGCGATCTCTGAAGAAACAGATACTAGACCTCATTTTCCAAGTACAGTTCGGGAAAAAAATAAGCAAATCATACATGAACTCATTCACATGCCCACCAGAACAAGGAAATTAAACACTATAAGCAGAAGCAGCATATTTGAAAGATAACCAAACAGAACTCCTAATAAAGAATGTATTATTAATAAAGAAATTCAGTGGGCAGATTTAACAGCAGATCAGACAAACTAAATGTGAATTAGTGAACCAGAAAACAGAACAGAGGAAATTACCCAAACCATAGCAGAAAGCCAGAGAAAAAACAAGACTGAAAAAAGATTAAGACAGGGAAGACAGAGTCACAAGACCTAATAAACACCTGATTGGAGTTCCAGAAGGAGTTAAAGGAATGAGCATGGGTAATATTCTCAGTAATTTCTCATTTAACTTCCTAAAACTACAGAAAGATACTAATTTAAACAACCAAGAAGTCTAATAAATTCCAAACAGGATTATTTAAAAAGGACCACTGAAGTATCACAGTGGAATGTTCTAACAGCCAAAAAAAGAAGACTGTAAAGGCAGCCAGAAAGAAGAGAAAGATTACCTTCAAAGAAATGAGAATAAATGCTTGCTTCAGCAGCACACATACCAAATTTGGAATGATATGGAGATTAGCATGGCCCCTGAGCAAAGATGCATGCAAAACTCATGAAGCATCCCATATTTTCCAAACTTCCAGTTACAAACTAAGTAAGTCCCAGGGATGTAAAAGACAGCATAGGGAATAAAATCAACAGTATTATAATAACTATGTTTGGTGAAATATGGTGACTAGACTTATCATGATCATTTTATAATGTACATGGATGAAGAGTCACTATGTTGCACACCTGCAACTAATAATGTATATCAACTATACTTACATAATACTTACTTAAATAAACTATACTTACATGGTATACTTAGGCAAGTATAGAATACACAATTCTTAAGTAAGAATTGGTAAATTCTTGCCAATTTACGAGTGTATTATTTGGAGATGGGTGGTGGTGATGGTATGGCTGTATACAGTAGCAGACTCAGGGCTAAAAGACATTAAGTAAAACAAAAAAAAAATTTTGATAAATACATTTTAAAAGGAAGCAAGAATAAGAGGTTCAAGTGTCTTCCAAAGCAATACTTCAGCCAAATTGTTAATTTATAGCCAAACAGCAGTGAAATACCTGCAGTGTGCTGAGATAAAACAGAATTCTATATAAAGAGAAAAACCTATCATGAATGAGGGTAAAATGAAAGTAATTTGGAAGAAGTAAAAACTTAGTTTGTCACCGACTGTCAGCAAAGAAGGTTATAAAGGCAGTAGAAAAATGATCCTATAAGGAAGGCCTGAGATGCAAACACACATGGAGAAAGTGTAAATATGTAGGTAATATTAACAAAATCCTATATAAGACAATAATTCTTGTGCCCTTAAATTTCTTTTAAGTATGAAATTAAAATGTATCATAATAACAACATACAAATCGGGAAGGACTGAAATCATAGTGTTCTAAGCACAGATATATCAATCTTTAGACTGGTAAATTGAATATGCATTTTTAAATTGCTAAGAGTACCACTAGAATATTGAAACTAACAGAAAAAAAAATGAAAGAAGGCAAGAAAGGAGAAAGAATGGAAGGACAAAAATACAAAACAAGGTAACAGGAAAAAAATCAAAATACCTCAATATTTGAACTATATTTAAGTGAACTGAATTTTCCAGTTAAAAAACAAAGATAGGCCTAATAAAAATACAAAAGTCATCTACATGCTGCTTATACAATGCATGTTAAAATGCAATGATACAGGTTGTTGCCATGGGCTGGGAGAAATGGGGAATGGGAAGACACTGTTAAATGGGTACAGAATTTCAGTTTTACAAGATAAAAAGAGTTTTGGAGATGGGTGGTGGTGATGGCATGGTTGTATCCAGTATCAGACTCAGCGCAAAAAGGTCATGCAGAAAATCTAAACAGACCAATTACCAGCAATGAAATTGAATTGGTAATCAAAAAACTACCCAAGAACAAAACCACCAGGCCAAATGGATTCACCGCTGAATTTTATCAAACATTTAGAGAAAACATAATATCCATTCTCCTTAAAGTTTTCCAAAAAACAGAAGATGAAGGAATACTTCCAAACTCATTCTATGAAGCCAGCATCACTCTAATACCAAAACCAGGCAAGGACACCACAAAAAATGAAAACTATAGACCAATATCCCTAATGAACATAGATGCAAAAATACTCAACAAAATATTAGCAAACTGAATTCAAAAATACATCAAGAGGACCATACACCATGACCAAGGGGGATTCATCCCGGGGATGCGAGGATGGTACAACATTCGAAAATCCATCAACATCATCCACCACATCAACAAAAAGGACAAAAACCACATGATCATCTCCATAGATGCTGAAAAAGCATTCAACAAAATTCAACATCCATTCATGATAAAAACTGTCAACAAAATGGGTATAGAGAGCAAGTACCTCAACATAATAAAGGCCATATATGACAAACCCACAGCCAACATTATACTTAACAGTGAGAAGCTGAAAGCTTTTCTCCTGGAGCTGAAAACTCCAAAAGCTTTTCTCCTAAGATCAAGAACAAGACAAGGATGCCCACTCTCCCCACTTTTATTCAACCAGGTCCTAGCCACAGCAATCAGACAACACAAAGAAATAAAAGGTATCCATATTGGTAAGGAAGAAACCAAACTGTCACTATATGCAGATGACATGATATTGTACATAAAAAACCCTAAAGAATGTACTCCAAAACTACTAGAATATCTGAATTCAGCAAAGTTGCAGGATACAAAATTAATACACAGAAATCTGTTGCATTCCTATACACTAACAATGAACTAGCAGAAAGAGAAATCAGAAAAACAATTCCATTCACAATTGCATCAAAAAAGAATAAAATACCTAGGAGTAAACCTAACCAAGGAAGTGAAAGACCTATACCCTGAAAACTACAAAACTGTCTTAAGAGAAATTAAAGAAGACACTAAAAAAAAAAGGTCATGCAAAGAAGAGGCCCCTTCATAATAATAGAACATTTTATTCACCTGGAAGATACAGTAAATCTAAACATTTTTAAATAGCCTCAAAATCTGTAGAGCAAGAACTGATAAACCACAATAAGAAACAGCCAAATCCATCACAGATTTTTAACATGCTGCTCTGTAACTCATATATCAAGCAGATAAAATATCAGTAAAACTGAAATATTTACAGATGAAATGACATAATACTGGGATTTGCTTTAAAATAATTACCCTAAAAAGTAGGGAAGAAAGAACAGAAACACAAAATTGGACTTTTTATAGAGGCTGAAGCTGAGTGATGGGTATATGGGGAGGGCTCCTCTCTATATGTTTGAAGATTGCTTAATTCCTGGTGATTTAAAGACCTAAATGTAATAGACAAAACTACAATAGACTTAGAAGATCAAACATAAAATAAATTTAACTTTAAAATAAAGAACATACCATAAAGAAAATAAGACAACTAGCTACAAACAAAAAAATTACAGTCCATATAACCAACAAATTATCAATATTTAGAATACATAAACAAAAATCAATTTTAAAAAAGATATATAAGATACATAACTTGGAAGCATACAAGAACAATAAATGTGAAGAGATGTTTAACCTACTCAATGACCAGGAAAATGCAACCACAATGAGATACCATCACATTCAGTAAATAGAC